CCTGGGGCATAGATTTTCAATGTCTTGCTTAAAAAAATTTTTTCCTGTGGCAAAAAGATTTTGCAACAAGCTTTTCAACATTATTGTCAAAGCAATTTAAAACTAATGTTAACGTATCAAATTTCACCTTAACTGCTGCCATTGGATATATCACTTAATGTACTTAAGTCCAATATGTTTGTCCCAAAGGGTATCTTTGCAAAGTCTGCAAGCTGACTAACATTTCAAGCAGTAGACATTGTTTGTTCCAAAAATGTTACATAATATTACAGGTGTTATATTATATCCTAAGTATAATATTTTTGGCTTCTGACAAAAAGGAGCTTACAGAAAACAATATAATTAATAAATAGGTCCTTACCTCATGACATCCAAAATAGAAGTTTTTATAGAATTACTCTTTTATCTCAGTTCTGAAGACTCTGTTTTCTCATGACTATTTTTGCGAAAGTATTTGAGATAAACAGAGCAATTTCAATCCATCTCTAAAGGGCTTTGGATGGTGACTAAACCTCTATGTTGGTAGGTCCCTAAGATTTCATACACACTTAGATGGAGGGACTTCGGTGATGAGAAAACCACAGAAAGGACATTTTGCATTAAAAGGGAGCACTTTGCATAAAAAGTCAACGAAGAGGACAAACATTCTATAGCATATTGCTTAACAGTGCTCTGCTTAGAACCTTTACAGGTGCTGTATTTCAGGACACCAGGGCTATTTTTGGGCTGGAACGCACAGGAACGGAGTTCCTGCTGGCTCCCAAGTTGGCCATGCCCAGCAGGAACTCATTAGCTTAATAGGCCACACGCAACAGCAGAAACTCATTAGGATTGGCTACATTAAAGGTGTGTGGCCTAACATGCAAAGGAGTTCCTGCTACAAAAAAGCCCTGGGTTTTGACAACAAACAAGGTAAACAGAATAACAAGCAAAAGGTGGGTATGGCTGGATAACCACACTTCTGGTAACATGGGGGTGCGGTCTAATGTTCTAATGAGCTGTGCTGTCAGGGGTGTGGCCCAATATGCTAATGAGTTCCTGCTGTTGGGTGTGGCCTACAAAAAGACCCCTGCAGGACACTAACAGAAGTCTCTTTCAGCTGGGGTTGGAAGGCCAATGAACCCCACTCAGGTAAGCATGGGAGGAGGATCTCCTGACTCAGGCTGTGACAGCTGCAGTTATTCACCCTGTCCCTCCAAGTATCTATGCTTTAGCAACCCCTCCCCCCTCAACGTTTTCTAGCAGTAAATATGTTCAGTGCAGGAAAGGATGGGGACTTGCAGATGTGCCAGCAGCGTATCACTGCACTATCAGCACTGTCAGAGAAAGAAGATTATACTGACATGGGGTGGGGGGTGGGGAGGACATGGCTACAGAAATGGGCACTGGTTGGATGTTTCCATCTCCGTCAGTAACAGGGACATTGCTGGAACACTGCATTATGGTTACTGGACTGTGGTGGGGGTTGCCATGGACTTCAATACAATTCTTATGGTCCTTGCATTTTAGTATGAGACCATTTGTATGCTTTTTTCTTCTCTGCAGTGTGCGCATAGGATGCCAGCTAAGAAGAAGAGGAGGAGGAAGCGATTGGATTGATACCCCACCCTTCACTTGGAGTCTCAGAGCGGCTTACAAACTCCTTTCCCTTCCCCTCCCCACAACAGACACCCTGTGAGGTGGGTGGGGCTGAGAGAACTCTGACACAAGCTGCTCTTTTTCAAGGACAGCTGTGCCAGAGCTTGTGACTGACCCAAGGTCACATCAGCAGGTACAAGTGGAGGAGTGGGGAATCAAACCCGGTTCTTCCAGATTAGAGTCCGCACACTTAACCACTACACCAAACTGGCTCTCTAAGAATCCTAGGGTTTTAGGATTGGGTTGTCAGTCATATAAAGGTAAGGAATGGCCTATCAGTTAAACACAAGGGACAGTTTTCATCACCTATTGCTCAGGTTGCTTTACGATAGTGATTAATGAATAAGCCCTTAAAGAAATGCCTGATGAGCAGAAGATACTATTATTTCAGCAGCTGTGTAGATGAGCACATGTTCCTATTTGAGCACAACATTCTTTTAACCTTTTTCAATTGTAAGTACTAAGCCCACAGTGGGAATTGATAGTTTTATTCCACTAAATTCCTTTGCTGGTCACTTATCTATGTCGTAGTCTCTAGTGACCTTACCAAAGAATCCCATTCAGAAGTTAACTAGAGGCTATCAAAGATACAATCTGGCTTCTTCTCGTTCTTCTTCTTGAAAAAAATCAATGGAAATTAGATAGATATTTGCAGTGAAGAATGCTTTTTCTCCACCCTTGTTCCCAAGGGAAAATAATGCCATCAGAAACTCTGAGTATCATGGAATAACTCCTTAAAAATCATCACTGAAGCTTACAGACTTACACTGATTTGTATGCTAGTCACAGAAACTGCAATCCTCCTGAGAACTCTGGGTCCCCATTGTTCAGGTATACTTTACTTCTCTTCATTCATTCCAAACTGAGTTAAAACAATATGGTTTTTAAAAGCAGGAATAAATGGAATCTGACCAGGCTTCCCAATCTTGTTCATGCATCTCAGATCCATGACTATACTTATAGTTTATCACCTCCTAGTATTCACCACTATCAATGAACCACTGAACCACCACTGAAGCTGAGTCAGATACTATGGGGAAATGATAACACAGGAGATTTGCATATCTTCTTTCTATGCTTTTGACACTGCATTTAACATAAAGCTTGTACCAGGTATAGAAAACTTATTCCATCCCTTACTTTACATCACTCCTGCCACAGAGTATTAATTGATAGCCAAAGGGGGAAATCACAAGGGAACCCCCTGCCCAGTTTTTCATTTTGCCTCCAGTGATTCTTCGTGAGAATTGCAAATTCTTTGCAACTGTGATTTTGTTAGCTGCCTTGATAATGTTGATGGGAAGTCAGAATGCAAATCCCATATATGAACAAACTTCCCTGTAGGGAATCATGTGTGCTCGAAATGCCAATTAATAACTCTCCTATAGAGGAGATGTGCAAGTTTCCATTTCACTGAGTGTGTTAGATTCTGAAGTCTGCCTGGAAAAGTTTATTCTCAGGGTTGTGGTATCCACATGGTACCATATTTGGACTAGAAGGCTGCAGTGAAATAGGCCCTCCTGGCTCTTTGATGAGCAGAGTTCTGTTGAGGGAAGAGGAAGAAGGAAGAAATTTCATACCCTTCCCAATGCAGCATTCTGACCCATGTGACTATTACCCCCATGAATCCCATGTCTCAAGGAATAAACTTTCCTAGGTCAGAAAGTACAGTTGGCAGAAGACAGCAGCTGGGAACACCCATGAACCTTTCACTGAATCCACTCCAGTACCTGGAAGCACAGAAACACTTCATGGAATCACTAACACACCCTCACTTCCTTGTATGCTGTAAAGCAGCCCTGGGCCTTTCTCAGATATGCTCCATGCTATGGCAAGTTTTAGGTGTAAATGAGACAAAAAGTAGTCTTTCTTGAAGACATTCTGTGTTCCCTAAGAAATTTGGCAAGTTTTAAAATCTTGTTGCATAACACCATTAAAATAGCCTAAGTTTTATTTTGGCAGTTTCATTTTTGTAATACGAAGACTAAATAATAATAATAATTTAGCTCTTTTTGTGCTGAGAGTAGGGATGGGCACAAACCAGGAAATAATAGTTTAGTTTATGACCTGCCCCATTCACAACCCATGGGCTGTCATAAACGTTTAGCTGCCTCATGAACTGGTTCAGTTCATAAGGAGACAGAATCCCCCCCAGCATACTAGAGACACCAATTTTGCAGGGGATCTCTGGCTGACTCTTCCCTACCTGCCCTCCAAGTTTGGTGAGGACTGGATTTACGGGTTCAAAGTTATGGCCCCACACAGAAGGCACCCCCAGGAGAGTGTTTTGTGGGGTCATGTGGTCATTTCCCCAGAAAGCACTTTCCTGGGGGCACCTTCTTTGGGGGGGGGCGTAACTTGGACCTGTAAGTTCAACCCTCACAAAACTTGGAAGGCAGGTAGAGGAAAGTCAGCCACATACCCCTATGAGTTTGGTGTCTTTAGCTTGCACAGTATCCGTTTGATTCACTTCTGAACCTGCACCTGTCAAAATGCCAGTCATTTTGTCAGGTGCAGGTTGAGGAGTGTATAGGATGAATCCTGTGTAAACTAGAGACATCAAAGTTACAGTGGATCTCCCCCAGATGCTCCTCTACAAGCTGTCCAAGTTGTTGCTTTGAAGTTATGTAAACATTTTGATGGAGCAGAGACAGTCTGTCTGGAAATGTCTCCTCTCATGAACCAGCAGGAACCTCCACAAACAGCTTGAAAGTTCATGCTAGATGACTTGCCACAAGCTTGACTTTGCAATCCATGAAGTGCCCAAAATTCATTATGAATTTTAGTTTATAAGCCATTTCATGCCCATCCCTAGCTGAGGGAATCACAATCTTCTACTCAGCTAGGGAGCTTCTTGAAAGAATTCAGCTTAGTTTAATGCCCAAGGTTGTTGTGATGATGGATTTTAAACACTTTTTATACTTTGCTATAGAAATAATAAACTATGATACAATACAGTTATCGAATAAATGCTTCCTAAAAACACTAAAAGGCATTTCACATGTAGGAAAGATGGGCTCTGGGTTTTAATAATATGTTGACCCCATCTTTTCTGTAAAATTTGAAGCAACACTGCCATACTTGAATATGTATTCAGTATGTGTCTGGGATATATGCTTCACAGAACATAAGTTTTCAGCTGTGTGAATGCTTTTCAATGTTACAGAAAAATTGTGGCCAACCTTTTATAAAGTGTACAATTTGTGAAATGGCAAAAAATGTAAGACAAAAAAGTGCTTGTGTTAATGATTATTGAAATAAACATAGTTGTGTATACTGGTGCTTGTGCACCCATTCATTTTGCTTCTAGATTAAAAGCTCTTTTAAAATAGTATCAGCAGGGCTCTTATAGTCCCAATTACCTCCAATAATTGCAGAGTCATTCGTTAGCGCATTAGCTAAAGGTTTCCCCTCATCTATTGGTCCTGAATGATCTGTAGCAGAAACAAAAAAAGGAAAATGACAGAGACAAGCAGACACAAGAGTTCTCAAGAAATCCACATACATAGTTAAGGACAGCATATTGGATATAATTATAGTAAAAGCTTTGTTTTAGGGAACTTGATTATCGAGGATGTTCAGTTAACCAGGCTCACTTGCTGGCAAGCTTCTCCCCTTCAGCCACAATACTCCTGGATCTTTGGGTAGAACATGCGTTCTTGCCACTCCAGCCAACCAGCTAGAGGCCTCCAGCCATTGCTTCCAGTTCTGCGTGGGTGCTTCCTTCCCTCCACCCAGCTCCCCCCCAATGTTGGGATCCAGCTCCGCTTGAGGGGTATCAGGAAGTTGGTCTGCTTCTCTGCCAGCTGTGTAAGATGGCTCCATGGTTTGGTGGAAAGGGAAGGGTCCCACCAGGTGTTCCCATTGGGATGGGGTTTGGTCACTGTGGATTCTTCTACCTTGTGGCAGTTCAGAACAATAAGCTTAAATATATGGTAACTGGCAACTTCCATCCTCAGGAGTGCTGGATAACAAAGCTTGCACTATACATAGTCATAAATAAGGGGTATAGAAACAATATTGCCAATTCAATGCTATATAGGTCAAAGTTTATTTAATAAAAGAAATAATCACACAATGTGTTACTTAATAAAACAGAAAGCATTTAGAGGAGAAAATGCAAAGGTTTCTTGGGGGGGGGGGTGATTAGAAAAACCCAGTACCTATGTATACTATCCTTTATAGTGCTATATAACATTACAACACTGACACTGTGAACCTATTCATGCGTTCTGTTACAGACAGTAGAACAAATGACATCCATATGTTTGCTACCTGCAAATGAATGGGTTGTTTCACTTGATGTTGAGTCAATGCTTGTTAAAGTGCCACATTTGGATTCAGTGAAATGTCCCTTTACAGTAACTGGAGCTGAGCTGGAATCGTACAGTGCAGCCTTCAAAGGAGCAATATGGTTGAATTGCACTGAAGAAAGACATCCAATAAATCCCTGAGAGATAGCCTTCAGAGTATCTGGGTCTACATCGCTATTCTCCACTAATCAAAAGAAACAGAACACAATTAATCATAGAGCAAATGTACAAAATAGAGACAGGAGAATAATTGAATAATTAACCTGTATTCCTCAGAGTCTATGCACTATGGCAATGTGAAAATTTGCTATATTCTATTTTTGTATGCCTTTAGTCAAATCTATTCCATATATATATATTTAAAAAATATTATGAATGAAAGCTGCTAGCCTACTGAGGAATGTATTTTTCTCTAACTACAGCAAGTTTCAAAGCAAAAATATAAACTCAGCTCAGGTAATTCAAATTACTACATATCCCATTTGTCATAACAATCAGATTTTCATGGAAAATAATTCCAGCCATGAATACATTCATTACTCTGTATAACCCCAAATCTCTTCTGAATTCACAGTGAAAAAATGATTTTATTCATATAATTGATTTCTAGATCTGAATTTTTCATCCATCAAATGTATACTCTTCACATGACATAATTCAATAAGGGACGTATTCCCCCCCCCCCATTTTGAACTGTGAGAAATTCCTTTGTCTGAAGCTACTCTATATGAAGTATATGGCATGTAATATTCACTGCACAAAAGATAAGCCTGCAGAAGGCACATTTCCTTGCAAAATAATGAAAAACTTCATTTCATAAAGTCAAATCCATTTCTTATCATATAATCTATCACTATATCTGGCCTAGCAAATATTCTAGAATATTTTTGAGCCAATGCCTTTCTGGTAATGATAATCACTGCTATTGTTTTAGTAAACACCTGTATGCTAATTTGTTCCTATCTAGAGGATAATGGCACACAGAGCTCTATTTTAACTTGTCAGTTGAAGATTATGCTAGGTTATGGCAAAATGTCAGACTTGTGTTTTTATCAGTCAGTCTTTGCATGATTCCGAACAAACCTGTGAGTTATGCTGGATACTGATGAGATAGTTGTAAGTTCTATAAAATTACATACCCTTTGGAATGCTGATCAGTAAAAAAGTAAGATGGATGACATAAAAATAAATACTACTTTCTTAATAATGATACAATATTTTCATGGAGACATTGCAATCTTATTTTTAAAAAGATACAGAGAAGAATAGGTACAATTCCTGTCATTAAAAAAGAAGGCACAGTGCTGGGAGGTGGCAGAGCTGCTCCTGGCAGTGGCAAGAGCAACGCTCATATGCTCTACCCCCAACCCGTACAGCAGTGCCTTCTCAGTCTCGATCCAGTTATGATGGTGGTGGCCTTCCTTGCCACCAGATGTTGCAGCAGCTATGCCACCCACACATAGGGGAATGTGGAGGCAGGCCAATCCACTGTGTGAAGATGCTGATTCCCCTCTTCCTGTACCAACCCAAATGCTTCCAACATGGCCATCACCAGACAAGAGGGGGTTGCAGGCAACGGGTGCCAAGTTGCTGAGAGAGGGGGTACATAGTGGGGGGTATGTAGTGGGGGGTGGGTGCCAGCATGGAAGAATATGGCCCTGGCTGCCCTTCACAATCATCAAGGCTGCCCCCACTTTCTGCAGGGCCCTTGCCGCTCATGCTAGGGATTCTCCATATCCACTTGCTACCAGCATTCTACATCTGGGTGGCACAGCAATGGTGGTGCTGTGCCCACCAGTACTGAGCTCACATCAGCAACCTCCATCCAGGTCCTGTGTGAGGAGCTGGGTCCTGCCCTCCGGGGCCAAGCTCCTGCTCCCCATGCCATCCCCATCTTGCAGAAGATTCTTCTCTCCCTGAGTTTCCTGGCCATCAGTTCCTTCCAGGGGGTCATGGCAGAGGTCCTTTAGGTGTACCATTTTTAGCTAGCAGCTGCCTGTACAGTTTTCTGGATGCCATGCTTGCTCATCTTCAGGAGCATGTATGCTTTTCCACTTAGGAGGGGGAGCTGGTGCCAATAAGGGCAGGGTTCGCAGCATTTGATGGCTTCCACAAGATTGCAGAGACTATGGACTGCACCCACATAGCCCTTATCACCCTCCTGGATGAGGCAGAGGTATACCATAATCATCACCACTTCTACAGCCTGAACGTACAGGCCTCCTGTGACCATCAGGGCATCTTCATGGAACTCACGGCCAAGCGGAAGGAGACGACGAACATAGGGATTTAAATGAAGACAAGCAAACAACAGAAACCCACCTGCAAGGGCTGGATCTAATGGAGCCAAAGATGCAGGGCTTCAGGTGTCTATGTACCAATGCCCAAAGCTTGGGCAATAAGAAGGAAGAGCTTGAGCTTCTAATGCAGACGGAGGGATATGATTTGGTAGGCATTACAGAGACTTGGTGGGATGTTTCCCATGACTGGAATGTAGTAGTGGATGGATATGAGTGGTGGAAGAGGTGGAAGAGGAGGTGGAGTGGCACTGTATATGAAGAGAGGGTTTATTTGTCAGGAAATATTGGAGGAGGAGGGTGACAGCCCAGTGGAAAGTATCTGGGTGAGGATAAGGGAAGGAAGGAAAAACAGTATTGTGGTTGGAGACCTACTGACCAGGATGAAGAGGTGGATGCTGCCCTTCTTGAATATCTTAACAGGGTATCCATACAACTTGTCCTTGTAGTTATGGGTGACTTCAATTTCCCAGATGTGTGCTGGGAGACAAACTCTGTAAAGCGTCCACAGTCACACAACTTCCTGACCTGTCTGGATGACAACTTCCTTCATCAAATGGTGGAGGAAGCTACAAGGGGCTTGGCCATACTCAACTTAATATTGACCAACAGGCAAAAGATGGTAGATGGGGTGAAGGTGGTGGGGACCTTAGGGGGAAGTGACCATGCCCTGCTAGAATTTCTTTTGCTGTTGGGGACCAAGGATGTTCATCACCACACATGTATGTTAGATTTCAGTAAGGCAGACTTTAATAAACTCAGAGGCATGATGAGAATCATTACATGGGCAAGACTGCTAGAAGGAAAGGGGGCAAGTGAATGGTGGGCTCTACTAAAACAAGAGTTCTCGCAACCTCAAGCCATCGCTATTCTAATAAGAAGGAACATGGTATGGGATCCAAGAGGCCAGTGTGGATGAACAGAGAACTGTGTGATGTGCTAGGGGAGGAAAAGGAAATGTTCAGGAAATGGAGCCAAGCACATATCTCTAAAGAGTATCTGTGGGTTGCTAGACATTGTAGGTTATCCATCAGAGAGGCCAAAGCTCATAGTGAGCTAAAGCTTGCCAGGGAGGCTCGCTACAAAAAGAAAATCTTTTTCAGATATGTGAGGAGCAAAAAACAAGATGAAAGATGCTGATGGGCCCACTGTTGGGTGAAAATGGAGAAACTGTGACAGAGGACAGAGTGAAAGCAGAAAGGCTCAATGCCTATTTTACCTCAGTTTTTTCCCTGAAAAAGAGAACAGGCTCATCTAGAAATGGTAGTACGCAAGGCATGGTGTCTGGGCTGCGGGTTGACATGGACAGAGAGGTAGTTGAGAAGCACCTGGCTGCATTGAATAAGTAAAATCCCCTGGGCCAGATGGTATGCACCCAAGAGTACTCAAAAAAACTATAGAGAGAGCTTGCAGAGCCTTTTGTCCATCATCTTCCAGACCTCTTGGAAGTATCAGAATCACTTTATTGAATGTGGCCATAGGCCTTCACAATATCAACACTCTCAGAGTTCATGCATAACATATGATAAAAGGAAAAATCAATCTCTATAAAACATATAAAACCTGTTAAAACTACCTCAGCCTATAATATTTAAATCTGAAAAGACCTTTTAAGAACACTCACTTACTTGCAATGGTACTATTTGATTTCTTTGCTCTAATTTTTCTCGCGGCCAAGGCAAAGAGAGCCAATCTTGAAGAGATGAAGGGGTCCTCATCTGAGAGCATAAAGGCCATCTTATCATAATCAGACAGGGAGTATAGGGCTGTCAATATCTTTGCTAAAAATCTGGCCCTAGGTTCTACGTATAAAGGATAGGCCAGAATATAATGGGGAAGGTCTTCCACTGACTGCCCACATATGCAGATACGTTGGTCTACTGGGGTTTTCTTATAGTGACCAGCTAGCATCTCTGAAGGCATAGTTTGAAAATGCACTGAGGTAAGGGACCTCCTGAGATTATATGAAGTTATGTTGTTTAAGTAAGAGGCTCTGGAATGATCCTTTTTAATTATTTTAAACCATGGAGCAAACCTCGATTGGGAGATCAAAGTGGCGTCTATTTGCGTAGGTTAATATTGTTCCCTGTATGTTGTAGCAGGTCATCTGAAATAGTGTATCTAGTAATGATATAATTTAAAAATTCAGGGTGAACTGGAGGATGGCAGATATTATTTCCAATTTTCAAAAAAGGGAGGAGGAATGACCCAGGAAACTACAGGCTAGTCAGTCTGACCTCTGTCCCAGGGAAGATACTGGAACAGATTTTAAAGGGATCAATCTATGAGCATCTAAAGGACAACTTGGTGATCTGGGGAAGTCAGCATGGATTTGTCCCCAACAGGTCCTGCCAGACCAACCTCATTTCCTTCTTTGACCAAGTGACAAGCTTACTGGATCGAGGGAATGCTGTTGATGTTGATTACCTGGATTTCAGTAAAGCTTTTGACAGGATTCCCCATGACATTCTGTAGGGTAAACCAAAGGACTATGGACTGGACTGGGTAATTAGATGGATAGGGAACTTGTTGGAGAACTGCACTCAAAGAGTCATTGTCAATGGCATTTCATTTGAATGGAGGAAGGTGTTCAGTGGGGTGCCATGGGGCTCGGTTCTGGTATCGGTACTTTTCAATATTTTTATAAATGATCTAAACGAGTGTGTGGAGGGGCTACTCATTAAATCTGCAAATGACATCAAATTGGGAGGAGCAAAAAACACACCAGAATTGTTGCGCAGAGCGTGTGTAGTGGTCCACAGACCAGTCTAAGCCAACTCAGCACCTTAGCAGACTTTCCAGCTCCCAGCTCTTACCAGTTCTTTGCTGTTCTGCCCCTCTATAGTAACCACACTGCACAGTCCAGTGGTACACTATATACAAGGGTTTATTCACAGAATATACAATCAAAATGCTTCGCCAGACGCTTGTTACCTCCGAAGAGAACGTACATGGCTTCTGTACAGACTTATATACATAGCAGCACCAATCAGCAACAAGCTGAGTCATGGTGACTCTATACTGTCCAGTGCCAGCCATAACCGGTTAGAACTAGCTTATCAGTCCACCTGCTGACATGTAGCTGTCACTGAACTGTCAGTTAGATCCTAGTGATCTTCCTGCTGTCTGATTAACTTCCAACAAGAATATCAACAAGATCTGAGTATATTGGAAAAGTGGGTGGATGTGAACAAGATGCAATTTAACAAGGATAACTGCCATATTCTACATCTGGGTAACAAAAATGAGATATGCACATACTGGGTGGGGGATACACTTCTGGGTAGCAGTGTATGTGAACAAGATCTTGGGGTATGGGTAGATCGTAAGTTAAATATGAGCAGCCAGTATGATGTGGCGACAAAAAAGGCTAATGCAATCTTGGGGATTATCAACAGACATAACATCCAATCACAAGATGTGATCATTCCACTGTACGCTGCATTGGTCAGGCCACACTTGGAGTATTGTGTGCCGTTCTGGAGGCCTCACTTCAAAAAGGATGTGGACAGAATGGAGCGGGTACAAGGAGAGTGACAAGGATGATTGAGGGCCTGGAGACTAAGCTCTATGAGGAAAGGCTGAGGGACTTGGCAATGTTTAGTCTGGAGAAGAGGCAGTTGAGTGGGGACATGATTACTGTCTTTATGTATTTGAAGGGCTGTCACAGAGGAGGACAGGGACCTGTTCCTGTTGGCAGCAGAGGATAGGACATGCAATAATGGATTGAAATTAAGGGTGGGAAGGTAAAGGCTGCATATTAGGAAAAAAACTTCTTTACAGTAAGACCTGTGCAACAGTGGAATCAGCTGCCTAGGGAGGTGGTGAGCTCCCCATCACTGGCAATCTTTAAGCAGTGTCTGGACAAACACTTGTCAGGGATGGTCTAGGCTGATCCTGCATTGAGCAGGGGGTTGGACTAGATGGTCTGCATGGCCCCTTCCAACTCTGTGATTCTATGATTCGAAGTCTCTGGGCAGCATCCATAATGCCAACATTTTTGCAGCATCCAGCCGCAAATGTCTGTTGGCCACCTGGGTTGGTATGTTGGGAAGAGCAGAGTGGCCAAAGAGCAGAAGGCACCTTCCCTGATGCTTCCCTTGATATTTCCTGCAGGTGTCCAAGGGTACACCCTGATGCCATATTTGCTGATGCCGTATCCTGAGGATGACCTACCAGACTGTGCAGCCTACAACAAAGCCCATCACCAAATATGCATTGTCACTGAGCGGGTATTCAGCCAGCTGCAAATGCAGTTCAAGTGCCTCCACCCACACAGGGGGGTGCAGAGCAATGCAGCCTCTGGCAGTGGCCAAGTTGTTCACCCCGTTCATCATTCCCCACAACATCACCATGCGGCAACACCTCTCACCTCCCTTTGGAGGGGCCATTGTGGAGATTCCCTGGACCCTGAGCTGTCACAAGAGGCTTCTGGAGGCAGGATCTTAGGGACCACCTTGAGTGGGAGCAGGTGTGGGCAGACATCTGGCAGCAGAGACATCCACATGCCCCTGCTGGCTGTTGGAGGGCTTCCCCTTTTGTCAGCCCAGGTGAGGAGTGACCACACCACTTGTGACTCAGCAATAGTGCCAGCATCCCCCAATGGTCCAGGGGGAAGTACCAGCAGGCCCACAATGCCTTCCCCCTCCCAAAGCTGGTGGTTACAGATTCAGAGTTTGATTTTGTCTGTGTGTGCTTGAGTGTGGATGTGGGTGCTATGGACCAGGTTGGCTCCAGAGAAAGCACTGGAATTTTTGTTAAACTGGATTGCCTATTGACTTGTTATTCTTTGATATGACAGAATGAATATGCATGTATTCAGGTGTGCATGCTCATCAATATCCTGTAAAGAAACAAAACAAGCTGCAAACTGAAAACTGTGGGAAGCTATGCATGCCTAGCAATCTGAACAAAACTTGTAAATTAAAAAAAAAGGAAATGTCATTTCAAAAATTAGATCGGGCAATTCAGAATTCACAGATTTTGTAAGAATTCACATGAAGAGAATTTCATAACCATCACTGTGCCCCAAATCAGTTGTCTGATTTCTCTCTCATGTATGGATCATAAATGTATGTTATCTACTAATGGCTATGCATAAAAGACATTTTTGATACTCCTTTATTAAATTTTGATCAAGTGGAGCAGTACCAATGCAGAGACAAGAGGACTGTCAATATGAGTAGCTGTCCACTCCAAGATGGCTTAGGCACTTCATGCTAAAGTTTGATAGTTTGGCAGAGGATGCACAGACAAAACTTGATATCAGAATCTATATTGGGAAAGTGAAACAATAACAAAAGATCTACTCCATTCAGGTACCAGTAATGTTCACAATATCCATTTCATTGGTTTTTCATCCCATGGAAAATTTGGTAACATGCCTCATATACAACTCAATGAAGCTTCTTACAGGTTGTCACAAATATGGCCAGAAATATAGGGGAATAATTGCGGGATGATGAAAAGATAATAGAGGATGTTGTGCCACATATAAAAATAACAAACCTGGCCTCCTAGAGAAGCATGCCAAGAAAGGAGTCTAGAGACCCAGAGTAGAATAGTCTTGAAGATAAGTAAGAAGAGTACAAAGTTACCACTAATAGTTATATGGCCTTATGTAGATGAGATGCTGTGTAACACGTTATCAATAGATACAATTTGTTGTGGTCCTGGTGCAGAAGCTTCTGAAAATTGCAAGAGTGTCCAGCTTTACAGAAGTGATGATTCAAGGGTGAGAGTATTAGTTGATGGCCAAAGATATTCATATGTATGAGAAATATCTAATCATTATTTTTAAATAGATTCTGTTAAGAAAAAGTATAGCGAGAACAAACTAACATTTTTAATATACTCTAGAAAGGCATTATAAGTATAAATAACCTTTTATGGTGTTTGAAATTATAAGTTAGCCAAGAATGTGACCCTTATCAAGTGGGACAGGTAGCTATTGTTAGGAGATGATTTTAGAACGATTTTAGAAGAAAAAGTACCTTGCCTGCGATCTGCTTACTTTTAGGGTAAGAAACTTTTTTGGACTCATGTAATCGCTCTCCTTTAATTATCTATGTAACAATGATGGATGGATGGTATAATGTTCTGTGGGTTTAGTCTGTGTTAAGAACATAATACTTTTGTTTTAATGAAAAGCTTAGAATGGAAGCAGAGAATCTCTAATAGTATTTACTTGTGTATTATGCACAGAATGAACCTATAGCATTCCTGGAGTTAAATGATCTGGTATAGGAAAGCTAACTAAATGCCTAGGGTCTCTTAAGTGCATGCTGGTACCTGAATGAGGCCTGACCAGAGTCACCCAGGACAAGGTCACTGCAGCACCTAGGGAGCAAAACCTTAGTGTATATAAAGTCAGTCATCTTCCCCATTTACTCTCTCACTCTCATAGCATACTTTCATTCTTAGTTGATTAGTAGGGAACTCTAGATGATATTAAATGAAGAACATTAAAGTTGCATCACAGTTTATAAACTTCGTAGAAACTCAATTGCACTGTTGGTCTATAGCATGTAAATGTCAGAGACAAATCCATCTTTCCCCAATAGATAAGCACTAGGAGGAGCCATGATGCACTCTGATTGTTCTTATCACAAGAGAATACCACACTAATGTGATATGATTGTGATTGTGTTGGGTCCTGCTGTTGAATCTAATCTTTGATCACCATCTATAGATTAATTCATTTGAACACTGAACTTCTGTGACGACGTTCCCAGTTCTGCATTGTTCCAAAAGAAGGAACATTTGCAGGTTAGGCAACTGATTAGTGACTAATTCGTTGTCTTTACCTATGATTTGAGTGTGATTTAGCCTTTTCTTTGTTAGTCTGTATTGAAAATGCCATGTTTCATTATGTCTGATTGCAAAATGGAAAAGATAAGTATGAAATTATTTTTAATGGAACCCACTTGCTCATCTTGCTAGAAGCACTTACCAGTGATTATCAATGCACTCTGACAAGAATGAAGCTTACACCTTGATTGTCACTCACTGCCTAATCAAATGCTAAAAAGAAATGTTTTTCAACAAGATTAGGGTTATTTTTTTACATGGTGTGATGACATTTATGATTCATGCTTCGAGGGGGAAAGTGCAGAACTGTACCTACCTAAGATCTTGCCAAGTATGAGGGATTTGATTGCATTGAACTGTGTATCCGAAGACAGTCTGAATCTCATCCTTTCATTCTGGTTAACCTTCACAATTGTTCAGCAAGACACAAACAGTAGCAAAATGGGAGACAGTTCAATAGGAATGTGTAGCATAAGGCAAGGGTCAAACAGGCAGGGAACAACAAGAAAAAACTCATTAATGGCATCATAATGTTTAAGAGACCAAATCTCAAATATTGTGCCATTGGTTAAAACACATATAACTGTTTTACAAACAACTTAGTATACCTCTTTTTGAACACAGTTATTGGGTCTGAAATGGTATTTAAGTAGTGAACAGCTGTTGTTATATATTCTGTGGAGGTAGTTCCTTTTTTATTCATTTGTAATAAATTGCAAGCCTCATGAAATGTTTTCTTACCAAACATAAAAGAGCTCCCTTATCTCAGAATGAACTTTAAAATTGAAACAATTGCATACTATTCTGTGAGAGTTTTTTTAAATCATTACATACATTGCTTGCATTCAAATACTTACAACAGTATGTATCCATGTTCTGCCAGCTCATAGTTCTATACATTTTTGGATTGTGGCTTTTGCATAATATGGCCTATTCAATGCTATTGCATTTAGATAAGTTTTATACAAGCTAGTTTTTCAGTCCCTTCAGAAAAATGTGTGACAAGGTAGGCATAAAAACATTTTCTGGGTATCTTTCTCATTAATCCTAGCAGAAGTGCAAATTCCACTCAGGTATGTAAAAGTCTCAAGTAGTAACACATTTAAAAATCAGGCACAATCAATCTATATTTTCTTTCATATGTGCTTCCCAACTCTAATAAAACAAAAGTGAACTGCACATAATAGGCTTCGGTGCACAGGTGAATCGTTTGAGAGATGCGAAGGTAGCATTATAGAATCATCCCTAGCTACAGTAGTATACATGTTCATTATTTCTGTCTCACTATGGTAACTTGCCTAACTGGTTTGGCAAAGTTTTAAGCAATGCCCAGGAAAGCTCTGAATAATATATATGAAGGTTTTGCATAGTTAATTATCTACATGAGCATTTATGCCCTTGAAAATAAAAGGTAGTAATGCAATCAATCTATCAAATATATTTTTATCCCATGCATCCTACAAGGACCTCAAAGTACATGGTTCTCCCTTCCCCATTTTATCTTCACCACCAGGTAGGTTAGAATGTGACTGGTCCATAATCACGCTGAGAGTTTCAGGGAAGCTCAGAAATTTGAACCCAGATCTCTTATCTTCTAGTCCACATGTCTACCTGATACACAGCACTGGAGCTCCAACCCTATTCAATCAGCACAGTAATGCCTTGTCATTTGAATAACATTTTTAAAACCTATTTTTCCTTGAACAGCATACTGTGCTTCCTCTCTAAGACTTTCGAGTACCATTCAAAAATTCCTCAGGAGCAAAATTGACCAGGACAAAAACTCCCTAAGATCTCATGTCCAAAATTGTCTCAAAGCGCACTAAATGCCACAAGTAAAGGGCTAGTGTGTTGTGGGGGGGGGGGAATCAATTTTTTTAAAATGTATGTAGCAACCTCATTGTGTGTGTGTTTCAAGTGCCATCAAGTCACTTTCGATTTATGTCAACACTATGAATTAATGACCTCCAAAATGGCCTATTATTTACAGCATTGCTCAGGTCTTGCATATTGAGGGGTGTGGCTTCCTTGGCTGAGTCAGTCCATCTCAAGTTGGGTCTGCCTCTTTTCCTGCAGCCTTCAGCTTTTTCTAGCATTATTGTCTTTTCCAGTGACTGTTGTTTTCCAGTGACTGTGGCCACTTCATCAAAATCTTGAAGCAACAGCTTATGAACATGCATGTACTTACACACATGCAGAGATACATGCATGTACACACACATGCACGCACACCCATATACAAAAAAAAGGTAGTGAATTTAAGAAGTAGGCATTTTCTTGTTGGTAGCCAATTACAATTAGAACCAAGGGAGTTCTACCATTGTTAATGCAGACACAGAATTGCCCTCTCTCTAAGATGCCTGCCTGTTGCATTATTTGATGAGTGAGCAATCTGTGCATGTCCTCAAATAAGAAGGCATGCTATAATACGTGTAGAAATATAGAGAAATCTCCTTTGAAAGTAATTCTTCCAGACTGAAAATATAATCTTTTCAATTGTAAGTGTTAAATGTGCCTCCCATTTTATGTCAGAAAAAATGTGCACCTTGATTATAAAGGAAACTCAACATTATGAAAATGAAGCAAGATAACTTTTCTACCTCCAAAACGAGCCTTCCCCCTTCTATTAATTTTCAGTTGTTGATAGGGGATACTGCCTCATACTTCTGTATACCCCACTGTTCTACTTCTACTATTGCCTGTATACAGTCATATATATTCGTTAGTAGGCTGACAGGAACTGGAATTATTTTCTTTTTGTCATTTTTATAAAGAAATGTGAAAGAATTTTAATTTTTTTTTAAAATGGGAAAAGGTGAACTTCAAAGACTCTACTTAAAGAAGATTCTCCCTGCACAGTGGAAGCCTGGTGGTGTTTTTTGGTTTGCTTTGGGGCTTGTCCTCTTTGATGACAATCTACATTTTTTGCATTACCTCCACAAATAGCATTTCTTCTTGTCTGTTAATTTTCACACGGTGAAGCTGCCCATCGGCCATGCTTTTGAAATTGATGCTAAAGCTGTCAGGATCTTGATGGCTATCTAGCTTGTACCTGATCTGTAAACTTCCTGAAGAAATTGAGAAAATGGTATTTTAGTTTCAAGACAGTTGCACATACAATAGCAATATAATATTTTCATTTTCTGAAATACACTCAAAAAGCTATTGGAAAAATTATATTTCATTTTTCTAAAAGAACATCTTAAATAACAGCTGTACAGAGAAGAGATGGAAACCCTATCATAAAATAAAAGACAGGAAGAAAAGTATTGCAACAATTATTATATTTAACACATTAAACAAACCAAAGTTCAGTTGTACCAGGCAGCAGCTCAATTTTCCAAGTACTTAAATGTGAACTCCCTATTGAAAGAATGATTATATGTACTCATGAAGTTATATCTGGCTTCTAACCTATGGTTCTGGACAACATGGATGAACATGAATGTTTTCAATCTAACTTCTTTTCAAGTTTCTAACCAATTCTGGTGGGTAGCCCTGTTGGTCTAAAGCAACAGAACAACATTTGAATCCAGTTGGCACCTTTAAGACCAATGAAGTTTAATTCTGGGTATAAGCTTTCATGTGCATGCACACTTCTTCAGATACATTGAAACAGACTACCTAGTCCCCATAGGTACATACCAGGATCCGCGCGAGCCCATTGGTCCATGTTAGGATCCTACCAGTCTATTGTTCCTAGATCCAAAGGTCTGTTTGACTGCATGGCCAGGCTAACGCTGGCGAGGCTATCTTAATACATAACAGAAGACAAAGGTGATGAAACAGCCAGGACACATTCCTCTTGTCAACTGCCTGACAAAGATCACATAGCAGAAATGGTTACAGACTAGTGACACCTTTAAGACTAACAAAGTTTAATTCTGGGAATAAGCTTACATGTGCATGCACACCTCTTCAGATACATTGAAACAGACTTCACCAACCATTACGATAGGTAGAAAGTGGGTGGGTGGGGTAGTTGCCAGGAAAGGTTCATTAGAGTCAAGATGCATAAGTAACTGAGCAATAAGTTTAACTAAAATTGTATTAAAGTAGTTGGTAAGACCTGTGAATAGCAGCAAGTTAGCATACAGATAATAAAAGAGTTAACAAACAGATGCAAGAACTGAGTGATGTAGCATGTGTAGTGAGATAAGAATATGATACCTCTGTTAAGCCCTGGGGCTTCCATTGTCCTGAGTGTTGTAATAACTTGTAATTCAGCAGTTGTCCTGGGTGTTGTAATAACTTGTAATTCAGCAATCTCCCATTCTAGTTTGTTTCTGAAATTTCTTTGCAATAAAACAACTACTTTGAGGTCCGCCACTGAGTGCCCACACTGTGAGGTTGCAATGTTCTCCTACAGGTTTCTCAGTTTTGCATCTTGACTCTAATTAGCCCTTCCTGGAAACTAACCCCACCCCCAACCCTCTCTCTACTGGCTGGTGAAGTATTCGATGGAGCACAACTACGCTCAAATAGACGAATAGGCTTTGGCTATCGTCGGCAGGGTCCGGAAGTTTCATGACTACCCATTTGGGCGGCCCTTCACCATCCTTACGGACCACAAGCCACTCTTGGGCTTTTTAAGTCCAGGCTGGCAGACTCCCCAGATGCTCCACCGTGAGTGTCCATTTTCTTGGCCGGCTACCAGTATGTTCTGCTACACAGGCTGGGTAAAGCAATGGGCCATGCTGATGTGCTCAACCACCTCCCGCTGCCCTCCTGTGATCTGGACCCGGCTCTGGTGCACCAGATCATGCTGCTCGAAGACCTCCCCAACAAACCAGGTAATGGAAATCTCTTGGCACACCGGCCGGGACCATGTGCTGGCCCAAGTTTTGGACTGTGTGGGGAGGGGGTGGCCCACTGGTTGAGTGGGCCCTGACTTCACTGCCTTCTTCTCCCGGTAGGATGAGCTGTCAGCACGCAAAGGCTGCCTGATTTGGGGAAGCAGGGTAATCATCCGTGTTCCACTGCACAACTGAGTACTCGCTGCTCTGTACAAGACTCACCCGGGAATCATGCACATGAAGGCACTGGCTTGCAGCTACGTCTGGTGGTCAGGCATGGACAAGGAGATAGAAGACATAGTCAAACGTTGTCAAATATGCCAGGAGATGTGACCGGCACCTCCAGGGGCACCAATGCGACTGTGGGAGTCCACAAACAAACCATGGAGCCGCCTGCATCTGGACTTTGCGGGTCCAGTCCAAGGTCAAATATTCCTCATACTGGTGGACTCATACTCAAAATGGCTTGAGGTAGTCCCGGTCACCTCAACGTCATCCTGGTCCACTATCAGGACCATGTGGAATATATTTTGCATGCATGGCATCCCCGATACCCTGGTGTTAGACAACAGAACTGCATTTATGTCAGCCGAATTCCAGGACTTTGTACAATATTATGTAATTCGCCATGTTTGCTCTGTGCCTTTCCATCTGGCCGCAAATGGAGAGGCAGAATGGATGGTGTGAATGACCAAAGAAGCGCTTCGCCAGATCACCCATGGTGACTGGGACCACTGGCTAGCAGCCTTCCTGTTTGGTCAATGGATTACCCCCCACACCTCCACCGGATGCAGCTCAGTGGAACTCCTTATGGGCCGGTGCCTCACGATCCAGCTGGATCGCTTACACCCAGACCGGGCTCTGGACCACCCGCTGGGCACTGAAGCCCAAGATACACCCCACAGGTTCTTCCTGGAAGACCCCATCTGTGCAAAAAACTTTGCATGAGGACTGCAGTGGATCCCAGCCAGAGTCGTGAGGGCAACGGGACCCCTCTCCTATGAAGTCTCGACAGAAGAGGGTCAGATCCTGCAGAGGCACATGGACCACTTGTGCCAATACCTTCTTCCCTTGGAAAACCCTGAGGCCCGAGATGCTGAGGACAGCGAAGGTGAAGAAGTGCAAGAACCAGAAGAGCACACAAACGAGCCAGCGATCCCCAAAACAGTTCCGGCTCCCATTCCTGCCTTGGTTCCTGTGGAGACTCCTAAGTCTTCTCCAACTTCCAGGACAACACCAGCAACCACCCCCGATCTACCCGAGAGATCAGCCAACTACAATAGAGGTTCCTACGGCGGAGCCGCGCCGTTCGATCTACCCGAGAGATCAGCCAACTACAATAGAGGTTCCTACGAGTGGAGACGTCCAGAGTATCTCAAAGACGATGTTTGTTAGGATTTTGGAACTATGGGGGGAGGGGTGTTATGTATTAAGATAGCCTCACCAGCATTAGCCTGGCCATGCAGTCGAACAGACCTTCAAGTCTAGGAACAATAGACTGGTAGGATCCTGGTATGTACCTATGGGGACTAGGTCGTGTAAATAGAACCTATCACAGGGAGTGGGGGGTGTTTTGAGTTTGTGTATGCACGGATAAAAGCTGGTCGCAGACCATCTAGTTTGTCTTCTAATTTCCAGTGAGTTAATAAACTATGAGCTGATCACTATGCCACATGTCCAAACCCAGTACTTTTCAACTTCCCAGTAAACCAGTGAGCTGAATGAGTTCTCCCAAGTTTGAGATGATGCTTTGGGGTAATCATGTTCACAGGTTAGTTGTCTCTTCATTCCAGAGGCACATCAGAGCACTGACAGAACAAGCAACCATATTAAAAGGACAGGGCTAAACCCAGGAAAAGGTGGGAGTGGTCCAGTGGTTATAGTAGTATCTCAGCAGTCTCCTGCCGTGTTCTTTTTAAAAATTCATTTTTAGAATAGTCACTTTAAGATCTGCAAATATACATACAATTTGCATAAGACAAAATGGTCACAAATTTGTCAGTAAGGAAGCAACACAGAAAAGCCTGTAGGGGAACATTTTAAAAGTTTTCCTGGATGTTCATTTACAGGAGTCTGGGTTTTGCCTTATTCACAAGGGTACTTTGTACTGAAATTTACTAAATTATGGCATCACAGATTGCTAGGGATCATCATTCCACTCTGGGAACTGTCATTCTAGTCCCAGAGCACAGATTCTATCCCTAGGGAGTGTCTTTACACTCTGGGGGCTGTCATTCTAGTCCCAGAATAGCCTATCTGGGCCCAAAGATCTTAATGGAAAAATCATTCCGCATTTTCTTTGCAACTTTTTTTGTGCTGCAATGTATTTCAGTGGAGCCCATGCAAGTAATTGGCTTTCCTGGCTCCCATTATCTCCAATGGGCCTTCAAGCCACTCCCATTGTTTCCAATGGGTAATCCTGTCATTCCTTTTATACATCATGGTTAGTTGCCCCTTTGAAACTGCAACACACCATAATGAAAAGCATGAACATGTACAAAGTGCACATTTCTTGCCAATGTTCTCTCTGGGCTGCACACAGGGCAAAAGGAAATTTTAAAAGGCCTCTGATCTGCATGTCTCCCCCCCCCTTTCTTGTTCATGCAGATATGGTTGCCATTTAAAAATGAAATTAAAATTGAAAGAGTTTAGGGGTGGTTGAAGCAGCCCCCCCCCCCACTACTATGAAAAACCCCCCAACTGTTTTCAATCAAGGATATATAGACCCAAGTAAAATAAAATAAAGATATACTTCCCCCCAAAAAAAATGTAAATTGGAACCCAGCTAGTAAGTTGGGCCCAACAGAGACTTCACAGTCTGACTATTACTACACTGAAAGTGGGTGGAGGAGACAGCCAGGATTAAGGACTATACTTTCATTTCCAACAGATACCACACATATTCAAGGATTGATATGTTCTGGATATCAAAAACCTTAGTTATTAACCTAGACTGTGCAAAGATACAACCAAAAACCTGATGGATCCAGCTGCAAGAGCCATTCTGTTCCTGTTGCAACGAATGTTATCAAATCTCTTTCCCAGCTCAGCTTTTCCTGTCTCCAGAGATCTGTCTTCCTAAAAATTCTTTAGCAATTGGTACATCTCCATATATGCTTGGAGAAGGGAGGGGGATGTTTAACCATTCCACTGTCTATCCTGCTAGCTTAATTCGCTTTTCTAAGAAGGTGAGCCTGACTTTCTTCTTTCTAGCACAGAAGGAAAAAACCCACAGGGGAAAGTTTTAAAGTCAATATTGCCTGGCACTGGTTGCCTGAGGAAGGCTAAGTTCCTACGAAAAATTTGGGGAAGGCCCAAGCCCCCGTGCCTCCCATAGTTTACGCCTATGTCTTCCTGTCTGTCTGTTGGAAAGAAATTGAGACAGTCTTATGGTCATTATGGAGACCACAATGTTCTGACTACACTAGATAAAGGAGACTTGAAGTGAATATTGAAGTCCCCTGAAATATGGGGATCTCTATCAAGATCAATTTAGTCAGCTCAGATAGGGGAAATGCTAGGTGGAAACATGTCCTGGGGTACAACAGCAGACTCTAATCTGTCTTTGTAAACTCTGCTTTCAGGTTCAGTCACAGATACCTGTAAAAAAAAAATGGTTTCTTGCTTTGCTCTGAGAAATAAAATCCTTGGTTCAGGCTGCAGAGAGGCCTACGGAAATCTTCCCAGAGATGGTCAGAGACAGTTAGAACACAGTGACCTTGCTAGCCTAATAGCAAGGCGGGATACAAATTAAAAATAATAAATAAATAAAGCTGAAGTGCTAGGGAGTACCAACTGCCCCTGTACCTTCCAATTAGCACATTCCAAGCAACTGAAGTTATGGGCACCTGTGTGGGAATGGGTGTGACCTATCTGCAGTACGGTTTCATTTCTCTACCCCTCTAGTCCATCCTTGGATGTCATGTGTTAAGTCGTGAGCTTAACAAATAGTCAGAGAGTGATTTCAGCAAGAACACAACTTTATTCTTCAACTCGAACACTTCTCTAACACGGATCAACATCTGATAGCCAGAACAGCTTTTACATTGCAGCTGTCCTGCTTTTAAACAATTCCCGGCTAATATAGCCACGCCTACTGTACACATAACAACCAATACGATTGAGCGCATAAGAGCCAATCACCTTTGTTCCCGCTTACAGCTTGCTTGAACGTGATTGGATACATTTGTCTTGGGCTTGAATCCCTGCCCAAGACGAAGCTTAACATTGCTTCCTTATGAGGTGTTTCACAACAGCTAATGCATTCATGGTAGCTTCTGAATACATTACATCATGTGCCTAGCAGCCAAAAGAGAGTTACATCATCTCTTGGGTGTCTGATTGGTCTACCAGGCATGAGGTCAATCAGAGACCCTCTCCATAAATCTAGTTAGTTTTTGTACTATGGGTGAGCAGTGCAGAGCTCGGTGAGCACTTGGCACACAAGTAAGTCAGTGGCCCTACAGCTCCCAACTTGGCATCCCATATGATTGGTGCTTGGAAGGACTAAAGCCATGACCATCTTGAATTCCTGGAACTAACTGCCTGTGATGAACCAGAAGGGCAACTGGAACCTTGATTCTATGTTTTAGATATGCTGGAAAAGCTTAGGTTTAATTGTTTTATTTCCTTCACTGTCTAGTCTTGTTTAACTATTTTTGCACCTTAAATAAATAACTATATTTTTATTCTGTTGAGGCTTTTGCCTTCGTTGACCTCTAAGCCTTTATCCAGAGCCTTGGCCTTTGACCACCTACCAGTTGACTATTTTGTGTTTGGAAACTCAGTCTGCAGTCCCACTCTGCAGAGCTGACTTTTCTTGTTAATTCCCTGAGAAGACAAGATACTTGTCCTTTCTCTTCTGGGCTGTCATGATAGATTGAAAGGACTGGTGGCACCTACCAAGACTAGAGTGAGATTTAGTCTCTCTCTGGTATTTTGTAACTTTGTTTTGCTGCACCCCCCTTGTAACCAAAAGTCCTTACCTGGGGGTGGGACAGGGACTTTTGACAATACCAATGAAAATCATTGTTTAATTAAACTATCTATGGTTAGTCTGAACACAGGCCACCCCACTAAATACTTTTGGTTTGGGTATATCAAACCAGAGTCTGAAACCATGGTTTGAAGTTGATTTATTAACCACAGTTAGTCTTAACTAAGGTTTTATGTCCCAGCACTGTCCTCCCAGCTATAGTCCAAAGGCAATGAAAGCAGCATGTGTTGAGACAAACTGATGTTTAAGTGATCATTTGCAAACTAAATCCTGTTTTTACAAACTAACAATAATTAAATTAAACCATAGTGTGACCCCCCTACTCACAAACCCTACCACCCTCCACAATTGATCTCACACAGGTTCCAGGTTATGGGTAGGTCAGGCAGTCACAGTTCATTACCCATCTTGTGTCTTTTAAACATATAGTGAACTGTGACCCTTTCACATACCAGGTACTCTCTCCCAGTTTTAGAGACACCACCAGATAGGGTAGTGCCAGCCTCTTTAACAATCATACCTCAATCAGACAGTTCACAGAGACCCCAGCACTGGGACACCAATGCTTCTTCAGTCACACACTGCCACCATTTATTCATCTCTCTCCCCCCCCCCCAAGATGTTTTATATATGTACTTGTTTGTTTCTTTCCCTGAGACCATACACATCCAGTCCACAGGGTTAAACAAGGAGTTAACTTTTATTTAAGGGTTAAAAACAAAATTAGAGCAATTCAGATAGTCAGTTACAAAGTTTCTCTACACTTGAACTTTTGAACCAGAGCTCTAGTCAGACATTCAGTATTCTTTGTTACAAATTGACTTTCTCCCAGCCAGCATCAGGCTGCTGTTCTGCCACATGCTGGCTTAAGCTTTCAGCTCCTTAGTCACCCAGTTCTAACTCTCCTCTCAATGGTTTTAACTGTCAGCATCTCACCAATAGTCCATCAGCTCCCATTGGTCACTCTGTTATTACACTATAAGGGTTTTTTAAAGTCAAATAAAGTGTACAATTAATTCCAAGGGAGTTTCTAGGTAGACACTCCTACAAAATCAGTGGATTTCGATTTTCAGTTTAAGCCAACTGTTTTTGTTTGATAAACAAGTTAGTTCAAAGTCATATTATGTATAGATGTGCATCAATTGCTACAGAGCTCCTTGTCAAAACTGATTTTTAGCATGGATTTAAATCTAAAAATCTTAATAGTTTAATGGATGCCTCACAGTGGTACCAAATTTCGTACACAATGTTCTTGAGCTCACCCGTGTCCTTTTCACAAGTATGCATCTATTATTCCATATATCCAAACTTGGGGGGATTCCAAAAAGTGTTTTTGTGACTGCAAATATACATATATAGTCTACAATTATTTCCATCCCCAGGCACAAAGTGACTAGTTGACCTTTGAATTATTTTTTTATCTCTTGTGCCTATGGTCCACACAAGGATTGTATCTATTTGTCTTCATGTTTGCATATTTGATAAGGCATGCATGTGGTACTTTTTCATTTATTCTAAAAATCCATCATGCTGTTCTTGTTAAGGAAAACTATAAGTTAACAACACTGAAAATCATTACAATGACAAATCAACATCATAAAACCAGATAGATAAAATTAGGTCTGACTTAGAATATCCACTTAACTTTTAAAAATTAACTTGTTTCTTTTGAAATTATCTAGCTCTAACAGACTTCTCTTGAGACAGAACATCTTAATGTTATGGTTACAATAATGAAGGATTTTGGCCCACAGCTGCTTCTATTTAATAAAATAAATGATGGGGCAAGAAGCAGTCCTCTTCCTAGACTTTAGCCAGTTGGACATAGCACTCTATAAGATTTGTATGTCCCTGGACATGAAGATAATTATGCTTCAGTCTTTCTTTTTGGCCAAAATATATAGCATTCACTAATGAGGCTATTTCCATATTATGAATATACATCTTCACACACCCTGCAGACTTGAATGTATGATGCTATACTGGTAGAAGTAATATTTAGCCTAGCATCTCTTTTGGTAACAAGGAAATTTAACAATAATATAAACAAGATAAGGATCTGAAAGTAGCTTGATAACTGAAAGTATTATAAACATTAACAGTGATTGAAATGGTACCTTTGATAAATCATTAAAAAGGGCATACTCACCATTTTTGGTGAGAATAATTGAAAGATACTCTTTATAGAAGGAGCTTACATAAAGAAGTAAGCTTGGAGCCCATGTGGTTCGAAATGTAAATGTGATAGCTTCTCTAGTTAGTGATATATCAGGATGAAATGAAGCTGCATGAGAGCTTGAGTTCTTAGCCAAGGTGTATGTCTCCTGAAAATTGTACGTTACTGAAGAGCCAGCTCTAAAATATGCAGAGATCTCTGAAACAATTTCAGTTTTATTTTGTTAATATTTTGTTAATATAATCCTGAAATAAACCCATTTATTTTAAAAAATAACACAATAGAATCTCTATTCAGCACTACTGATCAGCACAATTGTTGAGAAATTAGTCATGATTTATCAGTGCTTATTCTTATGAGCCCCTCATTGCTCATGGATATAGGGAAATTCTAAGACCAAGCTAATTTCCAGCCATATTAGTATATCTCAATCCTGCTAGCCAAGGAGAAAACCTTCTGAGATTGGCTTGGAGTCTTGCTCCATTCAAATCACAGACATCCTTACCACTGAGAAATTTCACAAGCTCTCTGCCTTGCTCATATTTAGCCAGATCTTTTTCTGATCTCCAGTCCTGCAAGCTTGGCTTTTCTGGGAAAGACCTCACTTTGGCTTTTCCACCTCATATTCATCTCATTTCAACACAAAGCACTTCAGCTTCATCCCTGGTTTGCTTCAGCCGTTGACTGGGTACAGAAAGAGATGCTGGGACCTGCACAGTTTGCCTATAGTGGCAGGCAGTCCAATTGACTATTCAGAACTCGACTTTAAATATTTTATCATCTTTAACTTTCGGACACATTTCCATTTATATTTCATTAAGCAAAAATAAAATGAAAATTTCAATAAGTACAAATACAACCATATCTCCACACCTAATCTCTTCAAACCTAAATTTTATGTCTGACCTGCTGAAAGCCAATTAGAGTTAGTTAGAGAGGCAGTTGTGAATGTTTAAAAGTGCTGCTAAAAGAAGTGAAACACTGACATATAAGAATTGTCTTAAAGTGAAGTATAGATAGGTAATAGATCAAGATGAGTTGCCATGTTAGTCTGTCTGTAGCAGTAAAAAAGAACAAGAGTCCAGTAGCACCTTAAAGATTAACAAAATATGTGGCAGGGTATGAGCTCTTGTGAGTTACGGCTCACTTCTTCAGTTAAGATTCTAGACAGGTAACACTCCCAAGTTTTAAAATAACCTTAAAGATAGTTTTAAAAAAGATAGTTAAAAAAAAGCCCTGAAGTCATTAAGTTCATGAATGTCAATAGGACTACTCTGCATATACCTGCTTGCCGAGGTTTTAGCAACATGCCCTAAATAGTAGTAAAGTTGCATCATACAGGGAACTCTTATGCTACAGATTACTGTAGCTGTCAGCTTTAAAAAGCACAATCCTGTGGAAGACCCACATAAGAAGCTTATCTGCAGTCCAACAGGATAGCTACCACCTCCAGAGTTACTGTTAGATAAAGATTAGAAAAAATATTCAACAAACTTTTTAAAAATAGAAATAACACCACAGTATTTAATAAATATCAGTAGCAATTTAAGAAAATTAAAATTTGAACTAAATCATGAACATCAATTGATATAATTAGATTGATATTTTAACAAATAAATATACAGTTTATGCTTGCCTTTCTTACAGAATGGCCCCTCATAGGCAGACAAAGTGCAGTCACAAGAGAATCCACTGAATCTCTCTTTGCATTTTCCTCCATTGTGGCATAAGCTACTGTAGCTGCTACAATGTCCAGGGCAACCTGGTTCTACACCTGGGGTTATCTTTGCTCTCTCTTCCAAGTCAAGTGCTCCTCCATTTAGCTGCAAAGAACGAATACAGCCCAGAAATCCTTTCTGTCTGGATGCTGTCCCACCTGAAATGGAAATACATTCATGTACAGTTCAAGAAACTGATATGTAAAAACCTCCATACATTTTGAATCCTTACCCATTTCTATGACTCTGAGAAAATCTGAAAATCATTTTGAAATAACAGCTGTTCAGATGCAAAATGTGAAAAGTGTGGCCCTTGAAGATATTTATGAAAGGCAAGGATTTTGTACAATACTGGTTAGCAACTAAAAGCATGTACTTGCATCATATTATAGCAGTGGAATACAGTAAGGTTAGAAAAAAATTAGCAATGCCACAAATCTATTATTATTCCTTTCTCTGAATATCTTTTATTGTTCTTAACTTCCTAATGTCTACTTTTAAGATTCTGAAAAATAAACATAATTCTCAATTTAGGAAATCATATCTAGTCACAATGATTCTCCCCCCTCCCAAAGCAGAATATTCCATTAATAATACAGAATAACATTATTGTATATTCTTAATTATTATTGATATTCCCTCAGTTCCCATGGATAGGATATTTTAACACTGAGGAACTCTATTCCAGTGTCCCAACCTAAAAAGAAATAAACTAAAGAAAAAGAGGGGTGATAAAAAAACAACACCACACACGGAAAATACGGGTAACACTCATTACTGATCAACTGGATTAAAAGTCAAGTATATCAATATGTAATTTTTAACATATCTTGATTAATTTTAGTGGTAAAAGCAGATCTGCATACTCCCTGCATGAATGGAGAAAGAATTATGGAAAGGCATGTGCCCTGTACAGATTGCTAGATGGGAGAATATAGGGGTGTTGGGAAAGACCAGTAATAGCAGTAAATTTTCAAATGAAGTGATAGAATGTTCTGAAGCAAACTCACAAAAAACGAAAATCCCTGAGTCATTACAAGTCAAAACCAACCTCCCTTCAAAATTCAGTTCTGCATGTAATAGCCCAACACCAGGACTCTACCATAACTAATGTTCTCCACTATCACCAGAATTCTTCTACCTTCCTCTCACTTTCCCAGATTTTGTAGTTATGAAGATGAGAAAATGGTAGTCAAGTTGGCTAGCAAAAGTTGGGTCAATGGCCAAGAGAAACTGTAACATCAAGAGAAACAAAAACAACAACAAAAACCAAGATTCTCGTTTGAATTTGTGTGCCCAAAAGATTATACTGAGGTGATCCAAGAACCACAGACAAATAGAAAAAGCCCTTGGCTTTCTGCTTGGCTGTTGTTTACTATCTTTTATCCTCCCAGGGGCAGACAGTATTGTTTAAAGTTTGGGAAACAAAGAAAGAGAATAATTGGCAGATGAAAAGGCTGTAGATAGTGGAAGACTTCCCTTAGTTTCCTGGGGCTGCATCTTTCAGAGATCTGGAGAGCAATCAGGAGGAAAAAAAGCTGGATCTTTGAAAACTCCAGCCCATTTTAACTCAGGATCAGTGTGCTTTAACAATCACTAGCAAAATCAAGCAGTGGACAGACAATGATCATTTAAAGACTAGGCCTAGCTTCAGTTACTCAGGATTTATTACAAGCAACTGTGGAACAAACTAACAATAAGCGTAACTCCATCCTTAGTACTCTGACCAAAAGCTGCATTTTCAGTTCCTTACTGATGATACAATCTCTGTTGTAGCTCTCTCTGTTGGTCACAATAACTATCTATTCAAACAGATAACATACATGTGTAAACTATGCAAAGTAATTCTGGAATAGAGAATCCCCCAGTGGCTAATTTTTATATTATACAAGACACAGGCATCAATGAATATATAATAGTAGTATCTGAATCAGGCGGTACAAAGTCCATATTGTGCCATATTTGGGAGAGGAGTGAATTCATACTCATGTACTGATCCCCAGTTGAATAGGAAAGTTATTACACATCTTCTGGAAGAAATAAAAAGGCTTAAAACAATATTCTAAAAATTCAACAGAAAAGACTACGAAGACTACAGTGTGGATTATAGGATATGAAGATATAAAAAGGGATGGAATTCAACATTATTACAATGTTAGGGATATTATTTTATCTTTTTTTTAATTTTATCATTCGACTTCTATATCGCTCTGACCCCCCAAGGGGTCTCTGAGCAGTTTACAATTATTTATAGTTACCTAACTTGGGCCACAGAGTTGAGGGGGGTGACATCCCCATCGACACCCAGGCAGCAAGGCTCCGATGTTTTTTTTTTGTTGTTGTTTTTTTTTTTGCGGCATCTCTTTGGTTCCCGGCGTTCTGCTGGCCCCTGGAGCGGATCTTCCTCTGATGATGTTCCTCTGGTGGGCCCGCCTTTCCGGTCCGCAGCCCCGCGGCAGTCACAGCTTCTGGCTCTGTCCTTTTTGCAGGCTCCGCCAAGCCGCGCCACCACATTGCCACTTTAATATTATTCACTTTTCTGTTTCTGTTTCTCGAGGAAACGGTGTGTTTCAGACAGGCGAAGGCTCAAGTTTACCCTCCTATGCTCAAGGCACTATAAGAACCACTGCTGATTCCAAAGGATGTGGTGTGTCTATTCAGGGCTATCTGCTGTGCTGAACTGCCCCTATGCTTGGGGACTAACTGGGACCACCTGATTTGGATTTGGAACACAGGCATGGGTAGAGGAGGGTTGTCTCCTCTGTCCCAGTGACATTTTCCTGACTTAAAACAGTGTCAAGGAACTGCTGTTTGCTGCAATGGGAAAGCTTAGTGTACTGATGTGATATATGGGATATATGAGTAAGGATGGGCATGAACCAGGAAAATAGAGGTTCATCCTGGTTCATGGGGTCACACGAATCACAAACCATAAACCTCCCCATTTAACAAACTGGTTTGTTTTGTGAGGTTTGTAATGTGACAGGGAGAGCTTCCCTCATTCCTTTCTGTGGGCAGCAGCTCCCCAAGGCCAGCAGAATGGAAGGGGGGGGGGTAAGGCCTTCCTTGCAGATCTTCCCTCCCTCCTTTCTGCTAACAGTTGCTCCCCAAGGCCAGTAGAAATAAAGGGGGGGGAGATCTTGCAAAAGCCATTTACAGGGAACGTTCCCTTTAAATGGCTTTTGCAAGTGGTGCTGAGTGAGAGTGAAGTCCAAGCAGCGAGCTCACCTCTTCTGGGTAAACTTGTGCTTGGACTTCACTTGTATGTGGTGCTGAATGCAAAAGCCATTTAAAGGGAACACTTGGAAGCAGGGAGGGGGAGTGAAAGGGATTGCTGAAATAGCTTGCATCTATTTCAGCCTAACAGCTGATGGGCACACCAGCCCTGCTGTTAGGCTGAAAAGGATGCAAGCCATATCAGTGATCTCTCTTGTTTGCCCCCCCCGCTTCTCACCATAGACCCCATGAACCTCCGAAAACCACGTGGAGGGTCATGGGGAGGTCATAGATAGGGATGGTATGAACCTCGGTTCACGAACCACACACCGGCTATATTTGTCATGGAATTAGGTTCATGACAAGGTTTGTGTCCATCCCTATATATGAGCTTCTACCTTAGAATCTGCTGCTCTTTACTTTTTACTGCCTAGAGACACACCAGTGCCATTTGTGTTCTAAATGGAGAGGGGGCTGAGTAAGACTATCTGCTCAGCCCTGCCTTTCTCCGTATCCAAAGCACTTTAAGAACTTCTGCCTGTGAAAGAGACTGAGAAATTAGTATTACTGCTATTATTCTCATGTCTGTTGTGTCTGATTTATTGTAAGCCACCTTACCATGTAATGAGATGATTCGCTGTTTGTTTAATAAGGGAGTTAAAATGCTCTTTAGAGTATTTATAAATTATTGGGATATATAATACATAGAATACAGTTGTTTTTTATACTGTTTGTAGAAGAGTTGTAATTAATATCTGCATCTAAGTATTTGAAAATAATTTTGGTTGTATTTTCTCTGAAGATTTTCACATTTTTACTATCTGTTAAATATTTGGAATATGCTATTCAAGATTAATAATAATACTAAACGTACTGAATTTATAAAGGATTTGGAATTCTAGAACCTCTTTTTTAAAGCCAAAGTCTTGTTAAAATTGTAATGTTGCTTGAACTCCTTGCCATGATAAGGGAATGACAAGCGACCCACATATATACCTCATACATTGTCTTTGTCTCTGGTGCTTGTGGGTCCCTTTTGTATTATCTTTTATACAATCCTGCAATGATCTTGGTTAGCCAGTGAACAGCTACTGTCAACACCCTGTCTGGCACCAACAATGAATCCTAGTGCACAGAACAATAATTACGCTGCAGGTACCTAACAATCAAACTATTGTGCTGGATAAAACATAATGTCTTGGCTACTGCAGGGACAGAATAAAAGACCCGGAAAACAGAACAAGGGGAATTTGTCCAGCCATAGGGGAGAAGCTGTGGGTGGGGGCTACTCAGTGGGGTTCTCACTCAACACTCCTGAACACTCTGGCTGTTGCTTTCAAATACTTTTCTTACAAATGTATCTTCATGATGTTTTTGAAAACTTCTATTTTGAAATAAGTTCCAGAAGTTTCTATGGCAATAACTTCCAAATAAGTATACTTAGGATAACGGCTTTAGATGAGTTAAAACTATGCACACAATTAAAGAAGTATTTTATGCATTGCATGAATCTACAAATGGCTGGAATAATTCTATTGTCACCATAAGCCTCTAGCAACACTTAGATGATTTAAAAAACCTGATCAGTGAGGAAAAAAATATTGGAGAGCGTCCTCTGTAGTAAAATCATTTCAGAAGACCAGTTAAATGCAGCTGTATGCTGTGAGTTATAAGTCATATATAAAACATTTCTTAATATAAAGGACAAGTGGGGACCCACAAGAAACTTGCAGGAGGGGCTATCCCATTTCCCCCACCTCTGCTTCGTCCTCTCTCCCCCTACTTCTCTTACACTCTTTATCCTTCCTGCCCATCCCTTTTCTTACTCTCTCTCTTTCCCCCCTTTTGTCTGTCACTTTCTTCCTGCTCCCACCCCATCACTCTTTATGCCACTCTTCTGGCCTCCCACCTACTTCTCCCTCCCCCAGCAGTGGTGGCAGCA